GCGCGTCTTTTTATTATCGCGTGCTGCATTGCCAGCCAACTCCAGAACTTCAGCGGCTAAATATTCCATAACAGCAGCCAGGTAAACGGAGCGCCGGCACCAACACGTTCAGCTAGTTACCCTTGCGAAGCAGGCGGTGGATACGGCCAACTGGGAATTGAAGGCCAGCTCGATTCGAACGCGACTTTGCCTTTCCCTTTACTTACCACCTTACCACGACCAGACATTTTCTATTTTTTTTTTTTATCACAAATACACTTCTCAATGGCTCACACACAAAGTTGATGTCCGACCAAGTGTTAGGCCTTTATATTTATACTTTTTTAAGCATCATATACGCTCTGCTAAGGGTTGGACGGCTTCTTATAAGTTTAACCTGAAGGCGATGTTAAACAAAAATATACAATATGTAGCAATTCAGTGGTAGAAAAATATTGCTAAAGCAACTGTGAAGTGTTGTGTTATTTAACTCAAGTGAATTAAATTAATCTGAAGTGAAAAATGCCGCCAAAGACCAGTGGAAGGCAGCGAAAAAGGCTGGTAAAGCCCAGAAAAATATAACCAAGAACGACAAGAAGAAGAAGCGCAAGAGGAAGGAGAGTTATGCCATCTACATATACAAAGTTCTGAAGCAGGTTCATCCTGATACAGGCATTTCATCGAAGGCAATGAGCATCATGAACAGTTTTGTGAATGACATTTTCGAGCGCATTGCTGCTGAAGCTTCCCGTTTGGCCCACTATAATAAACGATCGACAATAACGAGTCGCGAAATCCAAACGGCAGTCCGCCTACTTCTGCCCGGTGAATTGGCTAAGCACGCCGTAAGTGAAGGCACCAAAGCCGTTACCAAGTACACCAGCTCAAAGTAAATGTCTGATCGCCCGCTCATAGCAGCACAACGTTCCAAAAGGCCCTTTCAGGGCCATCAAATTTTTCATAAGCAGAGTTAATAATTTCATACATTTCTTTTAAATAAAATTTACATGGCACCCTTTACTGTGATAAAACAAAATCTATTATAATGGGCGAACATATATATTAATATAACTATTTTGGTCAATATTTATAAACAAACTATTTTTACAAATCATATCGTTCACCTATATGATATGCAGTTCTTATTGCTTGAAATCGACTGAAACAAAACAATTTTAGTCACCCATTTTTATGAGAATCGTGGAGGAGGACCGGACCGTATACAATTCCATTGTATTTGCATCAGCTAAGTTTATCGTAATTGCTTCGAAAAATGATTAAATTATTATTAATTTTATTAATATACGTTTTTTTTAAACTTTTGTGCTCAAAGTGAAACATTTTTCAATTCTCATTATTTTTGTTACAAAATTAACTAACAAATTATGGTCTAAAACCATTTGTAACAGTTTTAAACAAAAATTGTTAAATTTTTCATACATATACTTGTACACCTAGAAGTAATAACAAATATATTAACAAAATTAGAAAAAGATAAGATTATTGAAACCATTTAAATCACATTTGAAAATTATTTTTCTCTTTCTTAGTTGTTTGTAGCCCTGAAAGGGCTTTGTTTCAAATGAATTTTTATATTTGCATATACAAAATTTCACATATGCATTCATTTCTTGACTACTGCTGTCTTTGCCTTTTTGGCGGAAGCTGCAGCCTGGTTTTTTTTCGGTGCCGATGCTGTCTTCTTTGGCTTGGCACTAGTAGTAGTAGTTTTGGCCTTTGGAGTTTTTGGTTTTACAGCACTCGATTTAGGCTTCGATGTAGTTGATTTTGCCTTAACTGTACCACTTTTCTTTGCGTCTTTTGCCTTTGCCTTCTCCTTTGTCTTTTTCTCGGCAGTCTTTTTAGTGGCAGCAGATTTTTAACTTTAGATTTCTTGTCACCGGCTGCAGAGGCCTTCTTGGCGACGCCGCTCGACTTCTTTTTAGCTGCTCCAGATGGTGCAACTTTTTTCTTATTTTCTCGACGGAACTGACTTTTGGCTTTGGCTCTTTTTTAGCGGCCGCAGATAATTTAAACGAACCAGATGCGCCTTTGCCTTTTGTTTGGATGAGTTTTCCATTTGCAACAGCTGACTTCAAATATTTCTTAATGAACGGGGCCAATTTCTGGCATCGCATTTATATGTGGCACTAATGTACTTTTTAATTGCCAAAAGTGATGACCCACCGCGCTCCTTCAAATTCTTGATTGACGCGTCGACCATTTGCTGGGTTGGCGGATGTGATGGTGGAGCTGTAGCTTTTTTCGATTTGGCGGCAGTTGCCTTCTTGACAGTGACCTTTTTCTCCGCTTGTGCAATGGCAATCGGAGAGGCGGCCGATGTAACGCAACGAACGATAGAATCAGACATTTCTTTAACTTCACTTTCACACTTGTAAAATTATAAAACGGTTTGCTTTCAGAAATTTTACGAATTTTAGTCACCCATTTTTATGAGAATCGTGGAGGAGGGCGGTATATACAAATGAATGTGGCATTGGTCGTTCTCGACAGCTAAGTTTATGGCAATCTAAAAGGTAATTTGCTTCGAAAATGATTAGATGTAAAAAAAATCATTTGAAATGCAATTTAATAATATCTATAAGCTTGACAGAGTTTAATAAACTTAAGTTTGTGTTGATACTTTTGTGAGTTCATTTTTAAATGGCACTCAAAGTGAAACATTATTCTTTAATGGTCAATAATTTTGCTTACAAAATGAATTATTATAAGAAATTATGCTATAAAATCATTTGTAACGGGTTTTAAACAAAATTTAAACAATTTTGTATACAAATCTAAACGAATGATTTATTAAAATGCAAAAAAATATATTATTGAATGCTTTCAAAGTAGCCCTACCTTGCATAAAACGACCATCGGAGTAGAGTAGCATATAGCATTCAAACAAATTACCAAATATAGTTTAAGAATATAGTTTTAAAAGTCCAATTTATTTTAGCATTCATCAAAAGAAGTTAAACTTGCTTTAATAAATTGTTAAGTATTTAAGATTTTATATTATCATTCTGGACCCATTATAAGTTGTTAACGAATTTCCAAGGAGTCATAAAAAAATGGAGTTTGATAACTTACAAGTACTAACAAATGTATTAACAAAACTAGAAAGAGTTAGTTATTAAATAAATAATAAATTCCGAGTTTTAAACGTGTTTTGTTATGTTATAAGTAGTTTCGCATGTTTGTCTAAATAGCAGGAAAATCATTGCTCTATTTAATTCAAGTGCTTTATTTTGTATTTTGAAAAATATAACAATATACAAGTATTATTTAAGTAAAAAATTATTAAATAAATAACAAATTTGACATTTTTTTGGGAAAATCATATTTTATTTATTTGTTTGAATACCAGTAATAACCATTAAATCTTATACTATATAACGTGTGTTTCGCATTCAGAAAAAACAATCGATTTTCTTGTCTAAATAGCAGGACAATCCATGCTCTATTTAATACAAGTGGTTTATTTTGTATTTTGAAAAATATAACAATATACAAGTATTTATTTAAGTAAAAATGTATAATAAATAACAAATTTTACATTTTTTGGGAAAATCTTATTTTATTTATTTGTTTGAATACCAGTAACAACCATTAAATCGTATATAACGTGTGTTTAGTATTCAGAAAAAACAATCGATTTTCTCAATGTATATTTTCTTTAATTGAGAAAATGATAATCGCAATAGCATGATTTAATTACTTGATGAATGAAAAATACATATACAAGTATATGACTTCATATTTATATATTTGCATTGTTATGTGAAATGCCAGGCATTTGTGTAAATAATGGAATAAATGTAAATAATCATAATATAAAACGAAAATGCTGTATACCAAGCAATAGTTAATCTCTTTGTTACCTATTTGTGGTCCTGAAAAGGACCGATTATTGATTTTATAATTTGGAAAATGAAGCGCTGAAATTTCAACTTATGCACGTTCACCACGAATACGTCTGGCCAATTGAATGTCCTTGGGCATGATTGTAACACGCTTGGCATGAATTGCGCACAATTTGTATCTTCAAAAAGACCAACCAGATAGGCTTCGCTAGCTTCCTGTAATGCCATTACCGCTGAACTTTGGAATCGCAAATCAGTTTTAAAGTCCTGAGCTATCTCACGAACCAAACGCTGGAATGGCAGTTTGCGAATCAATAGCTCAGTGCTTTTTTGGTAGCGGCGGATCTCACGAAGTGCAACTGTACGGGGGCGATAACGATGTGGCTTTTTTACACCACCGGTGGCTGGTGCACTTTTACGAGCAGCTTTGGTAGCCAGCTGCTTGCGAGGCGCTTTGCCACCGGTCGATTTTCGGGCAGTTTGCTTGGTGCGAGCCATTATACAAGTATTTATTCCGTACTAATCTACTACACTGTATACACTGTCACTGATGAAAACACAATATCGTATTGCTTGCTTTGCGCCTTCTTTATATAGAAATTTGGCCGCACAATGCGATTGGTGGTTGTTTGAACGAGATGTGCGAAAGAGAGATAGGAAGATTATCCGACGAGCGTATGTGGCCGCAACAAAAGTCAGCAAAGTATGCGTGATAACATTCAGGGTATATCAACAGCCAGCTATCCGTCGTTTGGCTCGACGTGGCGGTGTAAAACGCATCTCTGGCTTAATTTATGAAGAGACCCGTGGTGTGCTCAAGGTGTTTTGGAGAATGTTATTCGTGATGCTGTCACCTATACGGAACATGCCAAAAGGAAAACAGTCACAGCTATGGATGTTGTATATGCATTAAAAAGACAAGGCCGCACCCTTTACGGTTTCGGCGGTTAAGAAGTTACATTTGCCCAAATGTGCAAATAAAGAAAACAATCGGTCCTTTTCAGGACCACAACATATATTTTTAAAAGAGAAAAATATTCAAATCATACTTTTATTTTACAAAAAGCTGTACAATCGATACTCTTCATTTATATTTCATAATATATTGAACCTTTTCAGGACCACAACATATTTTTTTAAAAGAGAAAAATATTCAACTCATACTTTTATTTACATACGCATATTTAAAAAAACAAACATATTGTACAGCTTACATTCCATCCATTTATATTTTCATAATTTAGGAGTAAAATATGGCAAACGTTGGCAGTGTTAAAAATTCGAGTATAAATACTTGCACTCAAGTAATTATTATACGTATTGACCAAATTCAAAAGGGATAAAAAATACTTTCGAATTAAAAATATATAATACGCATTATATACATACAAGTAGTATATTCTACGGTTCATGACATGCTGCCCGACCAAATGCTAAGCCTTCATATTTATACTTTATTCAAATTCACGTTGTATGATGATGAATTAAAATCTCTTCTGAATTAAATTGGTCGTCCTGAAAAGGACGGTTGGTTTTATATACAGTATTGTTTTTATTTATTAAAGGTTGCCGCCAATTTAAGCCTTCTTTTCGGTCTTTTTAGGTAAAAGCACCGCCTGGATGTTAGGTAGAACACCACCCTGAGCAATGGTTACGCCCGAGAGGAGCTTGTTTAACTCCTCGTCATTACGAATAGCCAGTTGCAGGTGACGTGGAATTATGCGCGTCTTTTATTATCGCGTGCTGCATTGCCAGCCAACTCCAGAACTTCAGCGGCTAAATATTCCATAACAGCAGCCAGGTAAACAGGAGCGCCGGCACCAACACGTTCAGCATAGTTACCCTTGCGAAGCAGGCGGTGGATACGGCCAACTGGGAATTGAAGGCCAGCTCGATTCGAACGCGACTTTGCCTTTCCCTTTACTTTACCACCTTTACCACGACCAGACATTTTCTATTTTTTTTTTTTTTTATTTCACAAATACACTTCTCACTGGCTCACACACAAATGTTGATGTCCGACCAAGTGTTA